ATTTCAAATTCTGAAATGGGAATACCGGAACAGCCATCTTAGAGCGGTATGGACGGAGTTAGTTGCACGTTTTGACCAAATGGAAATCATCCTGCTACTGCACTGCTAGCTCTCCATATGAGTTCACTTCACAAAAACCTCAGAAAGCCCAATGACAAGGTAGTTGGAAGAAAACACCCATTATAAGCCGTGCATGAAGAGTGAAAAGAACTAAACGCCTCTTCCCATCAAAAACAACGAAAAGAAAGAAATGAATCATTATATTACTCACCATGTCCTTTTTGATGTCCGTGTGGGTGTCCACCATGGCTGTGTGGTGCTCCATGACCGCCATGGGGTCCACCCTTGGATGTGGACGGGGATACATTGGTGTAGACTTGTTGTCCGCCAAAGTAAGCCTGATCGGCAGCACGCACCGCCAGAGCCGAGCCGAGAAAGGTGGATTTCTCCGATGCGAGACCCTCGATTGATGACATGGTTAGCGCTGTAAGTGTTGAAGAAAGTTATATTCTGTTCAAAGGCAGAGTTTCTGCAAGTGATGCAGATTATGACTTAGAAATCAAGTTTTAAGATATGTTCCGAAAATGAGAAACACAGAAAATCGAAAAAAGCTCCAAACTTCGTAAAATTAAAAAATGTAACCGAAACATAGATCCAAAAACTACTGAACTGCAAGCATAACAACCACAAAAAATAGCTGCCACGTAATTAGGCCACAAAAGAATTAACGCAAATTTTGCGAATTTTGCAGTGTGTAGGACGTAAGTGCACAAAGTTTGGCTACAGTCATTTGTAATGGAGCAAGGTATTAGCACCGGAGCATTTCGTCTAGGGACGAAGTGTCACTATACTTTGGGCGAGAATAAAGTTGAATATTATTGCTGCAACTATTTCGCAGCTTTCTCTTGAACTAATGATAAACGAAAGCTTTAATTACACTCTACTGGATATGTTAATAGGAAATCAAGTTTTTCTTCGCTCGTTAAAGGTAGTGGTACAGCAGAACTTTGTTTTCTAGTTTTTCACCCTTTCGGGACCCCATGAGGAACCCTATCTGGGCTTTTTCCGGGCATGAAAATAGGGAAAATGAGCTTTTTTCAATGCTTTTCAGGCCTGCATTCAGTGCAAACACGCCGGAGGTCTTGCGCGCCCCGCCTCTCTCCTTTCGAGCTCCGCCCACTCGCCCGTATTTTGCACTGAGTGCGGATGGAAAACT